TCCAAACTAATAGTCATGGAAATAAAAATGCTAGAAAGTTAATTTTCGTGTTCGGTTACATGTGTGAGCCACTGTATTTGACAATTACTGCCACGTCAGTTCCATCTGAATGAAAATCGATCAATCGATTCTGGGTTGAGAATCGATTCCTATCCCTACTATCATAATAACGATAATTAATAAACTCCGAGAGTTGATAAATAAAAATCTAGATCTTTTTCTCCAATAATATTGAGATTGGGGTTGGCTAAAGTCTGGTGATCTGTCCGCGAAACAAGTCAATAAGAATACGTAAATTTTTTGATCAACCCTTAAAAATATGGTAAAAAATGTCGGGGAAAATCAACCTTTAACTGTGATAAACACGTATCACATGTCTTCCAGGCTTTAGCCAACCCCGATTCTTCATTCCCGATTGGATATAAAAATGGAAGTTGGCGTTAGATTTTCATAACAATAACCATTGTTATCTCATGAAAACTACGAAATCCATCGTATTAAAAAAAAGAATATTGTAATTCACCATGAAACACGAGACGCTATTGAACTTGCATTCAAATCGACTAGCAAAACTTTACGAAGACTCCAATTATTGTGACATGTCAATTGTTGTTAGTGATGATGCTGAAACTGCACAACAAACATTTACAGCTCATTCGGCAATCCTGGTTGCACAGTCGCAATATTTTGCGGTCGCACTTTCCGATGCATGGGTAAAACGAGATCCGAAAAAATGGATTTCCTTCAAAAAACCAAATATAAAACCAAAGATTTTCGAAATTCTCTTAAAGTTAGAATTTATAATTTATAATTTATAATTTACAATTAATTGAGCGTAAAAATATTGATTATTACTTTTTTCTGTTATCATCAGATATATGTACAGCGGGCAAATTGACCTTAAAGACCACAACGTGCAGACACTTTTGTGTCTATTAGTGGCAGCCGATGAACTCGTTCTGGAGGATCTTGTCGATTTTATTCAAGATTATCTGTTGGCGCATCATTTCGAACCTAACACTAACGACTTCACCTTGATTGAGCGTATTGCATTGGAGCATAGCAACTTTACTAAACTTCAAGAGTTCAATATAGATTCAAGAGAAAATAAGGCCGTAAAATTTCAGCAGATTGACTTCACAACACTCCAGGAAACAGATCTCATTTCCTTGCTCAAACAAGATAATTTGAATATCCCAGAAATCGAAATTTGGAAAAAAATACTGGACTGGGGAATTAACAAAGTTATTGAATCTAGTGAGGATGCTTTATCTATTCCGATTGATAAATGGACACAACCAGAACTCAATCAACTCAAATATGTATTGGAAAAATTCGTATCGCATATCCATTTCTTTCACATTAATTCCGTTGAATTTCACAACAAAATACTGCCGTACTCTCGACTTTTACCTGAAACTCTAATCAGAGATTTATTACACCATCATCTGGTTCCCGGAAGTCAAGCTTATCAAGAGAAACTATACCCTGCTCGTGGCCCCAACTCGGCAATTCTTACACATGAACAAATTATAAAGATAATTGAGTGGATAAAAAAGAACGACAGTAAAGTAAATGATAAAGTTATGTTAAAGCTATTATTGCGTGGTAGCCGAGACGGATTCACGCCATCAGATTTCCATTTTCTATGTGATAAGAAAGGACCCACCATTGTCGCGATTCACGTGAAAGATACTAACGAGATATTTGGTGGATATAATCCCTTGGAATGGAATTCATTTGAACGATCTTACGAAGGATTAGAAAGCTTTTTATTCAAATTTGATCCAAATGATCCTAATGGTTCCAACGGAGTTTTAAGTAAATATGTGAGATCATGGAGCATAGATTGTAAGAGAAAATCTGGACCTTGTTTTGGAGCCGGTTATGACTTAGCTTTGAACGGTAAAGATTTTCGTTCTCATGAAAATAACTGTTATTATTATTCTAATGATACTATGTCATCTTATGTTCCTCGCCTCATAAACTCTAAGAAAGGTCATATTAACTTTGATCGTGTTAGTTTTAGTATTGTGGATTATGAAGTATTTCAAGTATTGATAGAATAATAGACTTCGAATGACCTCATGAAAGATAACACGTAAAATAATATTTGCAATTAAATAATAATGTACATTATGAATACCAATTGATAGCTATCACTATTACATAAAATAAAATCCCTTAATCTAAGATCTCCAACCAGCACATCGCCTCGCAATACAAGTACCAACCAATCCTACCGTTTCCCAATACAAAACCAATTGGGGCACTACTTTGTGGACACTCGTCGCTATTTCTGGCTCTAAAATAGATTTCTTCTGTCTTGGTTGTTTCTCTATCGTTGATATTGAAATATAAGCGCTGCTCTCCCTCTCTTTATCTGCATCTCGTCTTCTTGTTACTGTCTGGTAAAGACTTGCATTTCCGCATTCACATACAGCTATTAATACTTGATCATCACTACAAGATTCAATGTCCAAAGAGTCTTGTTTCAGATTTGGATCCGATGAATTTTTCGTGTTTATGTTGATGTCAGTTGAAGCGGAATTGAAAGAGAAGTTACCCTTTAAAAGACGATTAAAAAATTTTTGCTGTTGAGCAATCCATGCGGTTGTTTTTTCAAATACTGTAAACTTATTAGGTGAATTATTGTTGTTGTTTTGAACTTTGGTATCATTGCTATTCGTGTTGCCGTAATCAAAAAAAATCTCGACATCATGTTCGTTTTCATTTAGACTAGAATTATTTATATCATTAATATCGCAATTTCTGTCAATATTTTCATCGTTATTTCCATCATTTAAATTTTCAAATTGCTTCAACACATTTTCCGATGAAGAGCGATTCAAAAAGAGCGATGGAATCGTCGGACGTTTACATCCGACGCCACGATATTTCTTCTTTATACGTACTAAAGATGTTGCGTACGGATGTTGGTCATCATAATTCATTATATGCTATTTAATTGGTGAAATGCAGGCCAAAGTATAAAATATGTAGTAGATTCAAATTTTATTTATGCTTTATTGTATACAAGCGAAAGAAAATACATCTAAATCGAAATTAGGTTTGTTGTCGTTATATTTATCGATATACTGATACTATACGTAACAAAATAAATGTACATGTAGATGTATTGATAACGGAATAAAGAGGCAAAGTATTGTATAATAATCAGAAGAGATGGTTATTACGTAATTCAAGTTTGCATATCGATATTGTTTTGGAACTCCTTGAAACTTTAATAACGATAATATAGTTTTTCTTATCACATATAGTGTATTATCGTTATCATCTATTGTTTGTTTATTTTGGATTGTAACAAAATTAGTAAGTTAGAGTTTCACTATCGCTATAATCCAGCTCCTCTCTTTGAATAACGATAATACGTAATAACAATAAAGGGTAAATGATTTTTCCCTGCACTGTTGAAGAAATAAGCTATCGCTATCATTTTAATTAATTTGTTTTTGGTTAGTTGTATAGGTTGTGGAAATGACATTCTTCCATCTGCTCTTCAATAAAGCGAGCGAGGACAATTATTATTATTACATGTAACAAGTTATCGTTATGTTTATACTTTAAAAGAAATGAAACATTCATTCATTACTTTAGAGATCATCCGAAAAAATAACATTCAGTTCAATATGTTATACATGTATAATTAAATTCCAGTTTGCCCGCGCTGAAGTCTACGCCTTCTTTCGCGTAATCTACGACGTCTTTCACGTAATCTACGACGTCTTTCAAGTAATCTACGACGTCTTTCACGAACTAATTGACGACGTCTACGTGCTCTTTCTTCATCCTCAATCTGTTGTGTGTATTGTTGTTCTAAAAGAGATTGTTGTTGTAATATTGGTATTCGGTCTCCGTCATCCGATTTTAATTCCGAATCCGAATCAACTCCAAAAAAAGACGACGGCGGTGATAAATAATCACGTACAGGATATTCTGTTGTTGCTTTCTCAAAATAAATTACAGTTTCTGGAAGAGAGTCAGATTCTGTAATCACTTGAGATGTGGCTAATGTGATTAGGGGAATTAGGCAAGTTAAGAAAGAAATGAAGAGAATACAAAGAAATTTTTGAAGCATCTTTTTATGTTTGATTGTTGCTTTTTTTATCGTTATTTGTTGAATGCATTAATTTATGCTGCTTAAATACATTCGGTTTCACTGTTTGAAAACTAAATGAAAACTAAATCATAATTGTTGGGCTGGACGACTGTATTCATAAATTCGAAAATTTAGATAGAATTTTGATTTATTTTTGCGGCGCACTACAGGCGAATAGGATCCGGTGCATGCGGCATAAATAATAACGACAGTAATACTGATGGTAGCGATAACAATCTTAACTACATAAAATTAAATGATATCTTATATAACCGTCTATTGCATATCGATGGTATGAAGGTTTGCAGACTCTTAGCAGTAATCCCATTTTAATCACAAAAAATAGCAACATGCGAGTATTTCTAATTAGCTAGTTTGAAACGTATCCTGATACTTTGAGAGCGTATCCTAAGACTCTATTAGGCGCAAAGTTTCCACAAAGAGATACACTTCCCTCCAATAAGTATTTGAAATCAATTTTCAAAAGCATACCGATACATATCAAAGTGTTACCGTTACTAGCTTTCAATTTCAGCTACAAATTTTATGTTTATCGTTATTGTTTCTGTGTCCAAGTAATATCGATATTCATAAAGATAAAGTTACTTCTACCTGTATTTTAGTAAACCAATTAGAATCTTTGCCGTAAAAACAATATGTATTTCAATGTTCTTATTAATATTGCCAATAATGTAACTGATTAATTAAAAAAAGAAAATTGAGGTCTTAAATGATTGCCTTCACAATTTTCAGACCTCAATCCAATCAAGCATTTATGAGGAGGATTAGGGAAAAAAATTAGAAAATGTGTTTTATTGCCAAAAAATCCTCCAAGAACTTGAAATTGCATTAAGAATTTATATTAATAGAAAGGATTCCTAGAAGAATTGCGGCGGCATGTATTGAAAATCAAGGATGAACAGCAACCATTTAAAAAATTTAAATTTGAAATACTGTGCGAAAACAAATTCCCGCTGACGTCGACAAACAACCCAAAGAACGCAACTCTAATGAAAAGAATTGATACTTGTGAGGTGTAAAGAGAATTTAGTCGGGCGAACGACGAAATCTGCTTTTCATATGTTGCATCTTCGGTTCAAATTTGTTTGAAGTTCACAAATCTTTTCATGATTGAAATATAAGATATGAGGGAATTCGCAACTTCAGCTTAGTGTCAACGTTAAGAATAATGGACAGAATATTATTGAACTTGTTCATTAACTGGACGCTTTTAGTTTCTAAAAATTCACAGATGGAGCACTGATAAAAAATTGTTGATATCTTATTCTTTACCACTCAAGATGCAATTTACTTTTGCATCTTTATTTTTAAATCTTTTTAACTTCAATTTCATCATCATTATAAATATACGACCTGGCGTTCGAAAATATTTCTTCCCTATTTTATGATTTGCCATAAAAAAAATAAGTTTCTAGCCAATCTTTTGAAACAAATTAACAGAAAATTATTAACACAAATAAGATTCAATTATTTATCGAACTTGAAATACTTCATAATCCAAAAGCCTAAACCAAACTCTTTCTAGATCAGTGCCCAATAATCCATGAGTGTATGAGGATTTCTTACAGAAATTATCGTTGATGCTGAATTTAGGACTCTGATCGTCCGTGCTGAACTTTGGACCTACCAAAGCTAAATCACAACCATCTCCAAAAATCGGACCATGATTTGGCAAACAAGCTATACTTCGTCCATGTTGATATTTGCTTAGAATTCCATTGGAACCAAGAGTGTCGTTTGAATCGAACTCGAATAAAAAACTCTTTACAAGACCATAGTAATTTCCGTCAAGTGAATTCCATTCGTATGGATTATATCCCCCGATCGTCTTGTTCTTATTTTTTACGCTAATAACGACAATTGTTGGACCTTTGTTATCACACAGACGATGGAAATCAGTATTAGTGAAGCCATCGGTGCTTCCTCGAAATAATAACTTTAAATCGAATGGTCGGATTTCCCGATTTTCTTGTTCTGTAAGCCATTCAGCTATTTTGTTGAGCTGATGAGACGAAAGAATTGTAGAAACATTGGGTTTTCGAATTCGATATAAATTAACCTGATAATCTTCACTTCCTGGCACCGTATAATGATTTAGTAATGATTTATACAGTGTTCTAGGTAAAATTTCAGAATAGGGAAGTACTTTGGTTTGAAAATCAACGGAACTTATATGAAAGAAACGTATCAGTGGCAGACAATTAATCAGTATAGTCTTTAGTTGATTGAATTCGGTGTGTGTCCATTTTTCCAATGGAACCGTCAGATCGATTTCACTCGACTCAGAAGCTTGCACGATTCCCCATTTTAATACTTTTTCCCAAATTTCGATTTCTTTCAGATTCAGATCATCCTTTTTGAGCAACGAAACAAGAGTAGCTTCATGTAGTCTGACGAAATCAGAGTGAAAAACAGAAGCCAAATTTCGACATATAATCTCTTGACAACTTTTATGAAGTATGTTAAAATTATGATGCTCATATACCAACTGATAAGTTAACGCAGCGTTTTCATTTAGCGAATCAGAATGGTGCTCCGTAAGATAAATTTGGATGTATTCAACTAGGTCTTCAAGAATCAACTCGTCGGCTGCAGTTAATAAATCTAAAAGCGTTAATGCGTCGTCGTCATGACCATTCAAGTCGATTTTTCCACTGTACATATATCTGTAAATATTAGAGCTATTATTAGCAAACGTTAAGTTTGGATTTATTTTTGATGAAAAATTACCTCAGCAAAATTTCGAAAACATGGGGTTTAATATTTGGTTTCTTAAAAACAATCATTTTATTCGGATCTCGTTTCACCCAAGCGTCCGAAAGTGCCACGGCAAAATATTCCGACTGAGCCATCAAGATTGCCGAATGAGCAAGAAAGGTTCGTTGAACATAATGATTTTCACCACCAACGATTATTGAAATATCACAATATCTCGAGTTTTCATAAAAATTAGCAAACCGGTTTAGGTGAGAGGTTATCAAAGAGTCGGGTGTCATCGTTGCTATTTAATATACATGTACATGTACGTATGTACGTATGTAGATGTGCAGTACGTACTGTTACACTGGTAACACTAAATCTTTTTTAGAAACGCATTGTTTTTTCTTTCTACTATTTCTTTATTTACGTCATAGGCAGACTTTCATATGATTGGCTGATGTAATCAATTGTCCGGGATTGTCCGGATAGCTTATTTATGAACGTCACGTTTCACTAATAAAAAATCACCGTAAAAACCATTTCTAACTTTAAACGAACGTTAATATTCACTATGCAAAAGAACCGCCAAAAAAGCCAGAACCTGACATACTTTACTTAGAAGACAAAAAACTTTACTATTTATTACTATTACCAACTCTATATATGTACTAGTATGCTGAAAACAGTCAACGAAAAAAAAAACAAGCAAGATGTATAATGTAAGTTTAAGCTTAAAGAAAAACTTTATATACATATGGGTTAAGTGCAATAGAAACGGTGTAAATTATATTATAAATTTTAATACAATTTACACCGTTTCTATTGCACTCAGCCCATATATCATATACTTTATAATCTTTAAATCTAAATAAAAGTTAAGCATGTGTATAAATGTGAATAAATAAATACCAGTGGTGTTGTTTAATTATAATATAGGATTGTAATGTGTCTAGTAAGTAAAGATAGTGATGACCGAAAATAGTATAGTATTACTATTTAAAATATAAATAGAGTAACGGTAAAAAGCTTCGCTAATTTCTTTGATTGATTTGATTGATCAATAATCATGCTTGGATCGACCTAAATTAGCCAATCACATGAATGTCTTCCTATGTCAATCACTTCCAATTACACCATAAATTACATCATAAATATGAAATTAAAAATAAGAGTGAGAAAGCAATTAAAAAGAGAGAATTGGCAATAACTTTAAAAATATAATTACTTACTTGCATACAATAAGTTCTTATAGTGCCTTTTCATTCGCCATCCTAATAATCCATTGTTGTAAAGAGGGTTTGCCACTTTTGATCCAGAAAAGTGAGATCATTGTTTTAACAACCATAAAGACCGCGATTTGGAAAGATTTATGCTTTTGGTCCAGAAAAAGTGAATGTATTATTAACTTTTGTGAATACGTGAACGAAATTTAACCGACGATTGAATACAACGATATTGGCACGGACTTTAAAAAATTATCTTAGTCTAACTCGTTTCTCCCATCCAAGTTACAGATTATCAGCAGCCAATTCCTATAATCGGCCCCCAACCTGTAACAGTACCCCCAAAAATTATCGCCCCGATTTACGCATGTAACCATTTTTCAAAAATCGATTCCATCTTTTTTGATAATAAACATCACTTTGTTTTACTGTTCTGTACAACTCCGTCAACCCTATAATTTCGTTATGTTAAAAATGACGTCCACCTATACCAGCTTAACGAAATTGAAAAAGGGAAGATTATGGCATACAAAAACCACAAATTCCGCCCAAATCGCAAAAATGCTTGGACGCGACCCCACAACGATACGTCGCTTTATTAACAAATATAAACGAACAGGGAAAAGTGAAAACTTACCACGTTCAGGAAGACCACCAGTCCTTAACAACCAAGAAAAGGATTTACTTATACGTGAAGCCAACGAAAAAAGACGTGCACCACTACGCGAAATAGTCAAAAATTTAGGCCTCACTTGTAGTTTATCAACCGCCGCAAATGTATTACACAACTCCGGACTTAATTCATGTATCGCAGCAAAGAAACCCTATATCTCGGAAACACATGCACATGCTCGTATTAACTTGTGAAGAAATAAAATAAATCAGCTTATAATTGAGCGAAAATAATTTTCTCTGATAAACCAGAGTTTGGTGCATACTGAAGAAAAGTCAAGGTTAATTGCTTGACTCCTACCTTTAAAAGTGGACGAAAATCTGTAATGGCTTGGGGGTGTTTCGCGGGAAAATTAAAATTACCATTAATTTTTTAACAAGACAATGCACCGATTCATACTGCGGGAAAAATTAAGGAATGGTTAACGGAAAATAAAATCGCGATTATTAACTGGCCGGCTAATTCTCCAGACCTGAACCCAACAGAGAACATTTGGAAGATATTAAAGGACAATATTCAAAAAAATGAGATCTTTCCGAAGACTGTGGATGAACTTAAGGTTAAGGTCGCATTAAATTGATGTGGCCATTTTAGAACGAGGGTTACTGCATCAATGCCACGAAGGAATGTGGTATTAGAGTCAAATGGAGAGCCGATTAAATCTTAAATAAATTTTATTTTTTATTTGATGTATAAATTGACAAAGATCAA